ACTCTTTTTCATCCCCCCCTTTTTTTCATAAATCTGCTTCAGGGGGACGTGTTTTCTGTTATTCTGCAGGATGGCCACCTCCTCCTCCAAGATTGCTTTCTCTCCATTGTGTTTGATAATTTTTTTTTCTGTTTGCTATATCATTTTAACCATGACTACCTTAACAGCTTGTAGTCCAATCATAGTTGAGTTGGATTCTCCCAGAGCTTGAGGTGGGTTTCTGCCTAAATCTGTCAGGTCATGAAGAAGTTAAAAAAAAAAAAAAGAAAAAAAAGCCCATTCACACTACCCTGTGCTATACAGTATAATCTCGTTTGTCTGTTCTACAATTTTGAAATCCCGTCTGTCCCTTCCCACCCCTCGCCCCCTTGGCAACCACAAGTTTGTATTCTATGTCTATGAGTCTGTTTCTGTTTTGTATTTATGCTTTGTTTGTTTGTTTGTTTTAGATTCCACATATGAGCGATCTCATATGGTATTTTTCTTTCTCTTTCTGGCTTACTTCACTTAGAATGACATTCTCCAGGAGCATCCGTGTTACTGCAAATGGCATTATATTGTCGGTTTAGTTACAGTTTTTATATATCCTTTGCAGAAAGGAGACTTGTGAAGTGTAAACATTTTTGGAATTGCCTTTAATTTATGAAAGCAGTCAATATATATTTAGCATTGAATTTAATAGCTGGATGCTATAGGCAATGACAAAGAAAGCTAGAATCTCTGCCGTCAGTGCTTACAGCCTAGCGTGGGGAGGTGTCAATAGATAATTAAGCAATTATTACACCGTGTGGCAAGTGTTGTTACAGGAGCAGTTCAGGAAACTGGCTGGACACACCTTGCCCAGACGTGGGAAGATCTAGGGAGAATGACTAGAAAGAATAATATTTTAACTGGTGCAGAAGAATGAGTATATAAGGTGAAAATTGGGGGAAGATTGTTTTAGGCTAGTGGTACTCAAAGTGTGACCAGCAACATCAGTGCCATCTGTCCCTCCTTCCCCCACCCCACAACCCCCCCTGCTCCCAGATCTACTAATCAGAAATTCTTGGGATGTGGCCATCAGTCTGTGTTGTACAAACCCTCGGGGTGCTGATGCAGAAAATCACAGGTCTCGCCGACACCAAGAACCAGAGGTGAGAGAGAGCACAGAACATTGAATAGAGCCGAAGCAGGAGAGTTTGAAGTCGTTAATAGCTTGAGTTGAAGCTGGAGAGGCAAGGGAAGCCTGATGAGGTGGTTGAAGAGTTTAGATTTTTGTCTTAAGTGCACTTAGAAGCCGTTGAAGCATTTTTAGTCGAGGAACAGTTGGGGCAACTTTGTCTTTTAGAAAGATTACTAGAGAAGAGATGGGCGTTAGGTAGAAAGAATGCCTGGGACGCCAGTACAGTGATAATGCTGGTGGCCAAGAGGATGGAATAGTAGACACATCGAGCAGGCTTAGGAAGGAGAATTTGTAGGGTTTGGTTACTGATTAAATGAGGAGGGTGAGGGGAGAAGGAATTCCCAGGTTTAGCACTCAGGCCACTGGAGAGAGAGTGGTTCTCTCGCCTCTGGAATGGAGAACACGGGAGGGGCAATTTGGAGATCACTAGGAAGGTTGTAGGTTTGAGCTTGGTATTTGAACACAGAGACAGAAGTAGTTAGGTGGCAGTTGGTCAGAGATAACCGTGGGCTATTTAATATTTGCCTAGAGCTCTGGAAAGAAGTAGAGGTTAAATAGATAGACACAGGAGTATTTGCGATGTATAAGGTAACTGAAATCTTGGAGGACGTATTAGAAAACTCAAAGTATGATGAATGAGGATATAAATAGTGTAGAAACAGTACTATTGCACAGTGGATGAGGAACCCGCAGGGATGACTAAGAAGGACCAGTTAGAAGGATGAAGACTCAGGGAAGCATGATGTCATGAAAGCCAAAGAAAGAGAATTTTCCAACAAAGAGCCTCTCAGTCACATGTCTAATGCTCTGAGGAGTTAGTAAGGTGAGGACTGAGAAGTTTCCATCGGAACAGCCACCAGATTGGTGCGACTTTGGGAAGTTATATGAAACTCAAGATTTGACTAGAGTGGATTTGATGGAGGGGTCAGGGGAGAAGCCATACATTAGGTAATTGAGAAGTTAGTGTGCAAGAGACACTAGCCAGCCATTAGCTCTGAAGGGGAAAACAATCAAAGCTGGAAGGCCACCATGAGGTCCTGTAGGACTTTCTTTCTCTCCTTCTGTCTTTGGTAGAGAGGAGACTTTCTTGAATGTGGATAGGAAAGATTGAGGGAGAGGATGAGGAGTGGGGGAGGAATGGAAGACAGAAAGAAGAGAAAGGAAGGAATGTATAGAACAAGGCTGTGAAAATAGTAGGAGTGGATGAGTCTCAGAACACCTGGATGGCGAAGGGTACACCTTTCCCATTGTAACAGAAGAGGAAGAAAGGATGGCTTCTCGAAAAGGTAATTTTGTCTTTTTGGTGGGAGAAAGGTAAGAGAGTTCCCATCTGATGATTTCTAATTTTCCTCTTTTGGCAACTACTGTTGGAGAGGGTAGATGGGGCTCAAAGAATAGTAGATGAGCTTAAAATAGTTACCGTGAAGTAGATACAGAAAAATAGGGAGAAAATCGGATTTCTTGTGGCATTTAAGTCTCAGTTGAGGCCAGCATCATGAATTTATAGCAGAATCAATCTGCCAGGTGGATTATTTTCTCTAATATTTCTCAGAAGCCTTGGTGTAGGTGTGGATGTGGGAACCAGTTGCATTCTTCCACAACTGGTGTTACTCTAAGAAATTGTTGCAGAAGTACAGGGGAACAAGTAGATTAAAAGATGAAGGTCTGCTTCCTTATCCGAAATTATAGAATTCAAGAGGATCTGAAAACTGATGATTTTTTTTCTTAACTCAGTGGCAAAACTTCCTCTGAATGAATTGATGTGAGGCTACTTATAACCTTTATTTATCAAATTGGTGTATATATTCATATATTTTGCTCTAGAAATAACGTGTATCACTGTGGAGTGCTGACCAAATTTTTATGCGGCTGTAATAGCATGTATGGATTATCCCCTGTGTACCCCTTCTTAAATTCAGAAAAAATTCTGAATTCTGAAGGACATCTGACCTCAAAGCCTTGAAGAAGAGAATGCGTTAAGGAAAAAAGAAGTTGAAACGATAAACTATGGAATCTAACCTGGATAAGGAAAAAGAGGAAGACAGGGAGGGTAATCCACTAAGAAAAAGTAGGATGCTTAAGGAAATAGATGACTCTAAAGAACTGATGTGTTGGGGATCAAATGAGAAATTTGGGAGAATGAGAAGTCTGGTGAGTAATCAGTGTGTATAAAAGGATTATATCCAAAGGGAGACAGTTCTGAGTAGTTACAAAGTCCAGGGTGTGACCATGGGAGTGGGAAACTGAGTTGCAATGGAATAGAAAGTCATTAGAGATGAGGTCAAGAAACTGAGAGGCAAGAAAATTAGGTGAGTTACCCAGAGTAATTCATAGATTTGGAGTGGAATGGAACACACCCCAAGGTAAGTTCTCAGATTGCCGATGAATGGGGCTCTGTGGAAGATACGTGAGATACCAAAGTGTGTAAGACAGTCTTCACTCTTGCCTGGACTGTTATCTTTTTAACAAGCAAAGTGATACATAATTATACAACATGGTGAGAGTAATGATTATAGAGGCATGATCTAAAAGCTAATTAAAGCCTAAATTAGGAAGGAGACCCTACATGTCTTGACGAGTCAGAAGACTAACCATTCAAGAAGAGTTTTACCCATTGTTTTGGAGCTTTCTGTGTTTGGTAAACATTTATGCATGACCTGTAGATATTCAATAGAATATCAACAATAGTGGTTAAAACTGTCATATTTGCTAAGTAATTTATTAAATGCAGTGCCAGAATGAAAAAAAATTGGATATGACCTGTCTTCAAGAAATATTCTCTAATTTTGGGAGTCCCAGACAAACTTAAGGCTTTAGGAAAAGTGATTTATTTTATTTGATGTGTAATTTTGTAGTTTCTTTTTTCGGTGACTTTTTATTTTCTAGTTTTGCTTTAATAGTTTTATTGACTGCCCTATATTATTATATTATGAAATTCCTCAATCCTTTCTGGATTCAAGTGAGAGTATAAATATTTAATAAGCAAATATATTCTAATCGATGATGTTGAAAAATAAGAAAACATGTAATGAGACATTTTTAATCCCCCCATATTTTAAAAGATACAGTTTATCTATCTAAGTGTACTACACTTTTTGTAGAGCAGTGTGTCAGCTGCTCTTTGGACGTGACTTTAAGTAACATATTTCTTAAGTCCTCCAAAAAGAGGAGAATTCTCCAATGTTATAGACGAGTTGACAAATGCTATTCTGGGGTGAAGAGCCGTGGGGGTAGACCACAGGAATGCCAAACAGCAACGCTGGCTTTGGGCAAGGAAGCTTTGATGCGTCGTGACCTCTTTGAAATGTTGAGACTGATGGTCCTTGTGAGGACTTGCATTACAAGAAGTCTGACACAGATTGAACATACTATGTGAGAACAGAAATGCAGAATAATAGGGCAATAATACCCTATCTATAAGCCAGCTATGTTTATGATTCCCTAAATGACAGGTCAAAATAGATTTGCACTATGGCAAATATTCCAATTGCAATGCCCTGCAAAATCTCAACTGTCTCATGTATTTTAAGCAAGGTTTCTGGGTCGTGTGGCTTTTCTAGTAGACTTCAATGACATGCAACCACCAAGCATGGACCTTGTCATTTGTTTAACTCCAACTGTCTTTAATCTTGAGGACACTAAGTAAAACAGTGAGAACCCTTGGGGTTTCAACATAATCATAGAATATTACTCAGGATCAGATTTTCAAATTCTTTCCCTTTGGCCTTTTCTTTTGCCACATTTGCCGTAGAGAAGCCGTATGTTCTCTCTCCATCTTTACATTTGGATCTGTGGTTTTCTCTTTTTTTTTTCCCATCTTTCTTCCTTTCTCTTTTAGTTCACAGCCATGAATGAACCACAGTGCTTCTACAACGAATCCATCGCCTTCTTTTATAACCGGAGTGGAAAGTATCTCGCCACAGAATGGAACACAGTCAGCAAGCTGGTGATGGGACTTGGAATCACCGTCTGTATCTTCATCATGTTGGCCAATCTACTGGTCATGGTGGCAATCTATGTCAACCGCCGCTTCCATTTTCCTATTTATTACTTAATGGCTAATCTGGCTGCTGCAGACTTCTTTGCTGGGTTGGCCTACTTCTACCTAATGTTCAACACAGGACCCAATACCCGGAGACTGACGGTCAGCACGTGGCTCCTACGTCAGGGCCTCATTGACACCAGCCTGACAGCATCTGTGGCCAACTTACTGGCCATTGCGATCGAGAGGCACATTACAGTTTTCCGCATGCAGCTCCACACACGGATGAGCAACCGGCGGGTGGTGGTGGTGATTGTGGTCATCTGGACCATGGCCATCGTGATGGGTGCCATACCCAGTGTGGGTTGGAACTGCATCTGTGATATTGAGAATTGTTCCAACATGGCACCGCTCTACAGTGACTCTTACTTGGTCTTCTGGGCCATTTTCAACTTGGTGACCTTTGTCGTCATGGTGGTTCTCTATGCTCATATCTTTGGCTACGTTCGCCAGAGGACTATGAGAATGTCTCGCCATAGTTCTGGACCCCGGCGGAATCGGGACACCATGATGAGTCTTCTGAAGACTGTGGTCATTGTGCTTGGTGAGTTTTGTCTTGACTGTAACTTACTTTACGAATTCTCAATGTCTTAATATAAACCAGATGAATTTATGGTAGTGGTAAGTGACAGTATGAACATTCACTGAGTATATATGCAGGAATGACAAGGGGATGGGGCACCGTTATATCAAATATCTGTGATGAAGTCAGCATCCTAGTCTTTCTATAATTACAGAATTGGTTTCAGGGAAATCATGTATCAGTGATGTGATATAAATGATGATGATGTGGAAGATACTGTTGACGAGCTTGGCAATGAAGTATTGAAAATACCAGCATTTGAAGGGTTTCCTTACAACCCAAATTGTGGAACTTTTGCCTGTGGTCTCTTGATTACAGATTCTCAGAAAATGACCTATGCTTTCATGTACAGTTACTTTTATGAGTCTATTTCTAAATAAGATGTCTTTCACATCCTGTAATTGTTACTACATACATGTAGGTAAGGTAAGTATTGTATCAAGATATTTTGTGTAAACTGACTGCACAGAATAAGTTGGAATTAATACCATCCCATGACAGTCATCTTTATGAAAACGTATGTTTTCTTTCCATTAATTTTCTGTTTTTAGTGTTGGAAGTTAATTCATATTTCAAGGTGAAAAGCGAAATTTTATTTTATGTTATATATACTCAGATAACTTTTGCCTTTAAATAACTATTGTTTTTCCTGGATAAAGAATTCATGGTAACAATCAGGAGGAGTATATTTATTCATTTGTGTATTCAGAAAATAGTCAAAGAGCACCTCTCTAGTTCCAGGTCCTGTGCTGCTCCTGGGGGTGTCCCCAAGAAGAAGACACACACAGGACATTTCTTTTGGAGTTTGGAGTGCCTATTTTAAAAGTTCACCCAATGAGTATTTTAAATAATGACCCAATTGAATTATATTTTCTCCGTGGATTATATTCAGGTTAATGTTTGATCACATTTAAAAAAATATTTTGCAAGTTTTTTAGCATTTCATCTGTCCCCATGGAAATTCAGTGAAAAGTTCCTCTAATGCTCTTTGTCCCGGTTTATAAAGCAGTGTTGCATGGATGTAACCTGGGGTTGTGTGGTTCCTCGGAAGCTCTGGGAGCTACATTAATTTTAGCCACAGGAAAGAGGTAGAGCCCTGATGATGGCTAGACTAGTATTCTGATTGAGGCATGGGTCCCACCTATTTTGGTTAGGGTGAATGTCTCAGGGAGATAACACCTGGGTGTCCTGATTGTGACCTTCTGGTAGACCTTTATGCATGAAGACCTCGCCTTGGGATTGCTCGCACAACCAAAGCCCTGTCTGTATCTAGCTGGTACACTTAAGACAGTATCCCCACTGGGACCCCCATCATCTACCCAACAGAGCTTAGGAGACGTACAAAAATGATTTCTCTGTGTTTAATTATCAACAAAAGCCTTGATCATACCTGTGCCACAAGGACACATTCTCCACAACATGGATGAAACATATCTTCGTTTCCCATGGATGCTGCTGTTGTATGAAATTGAGTAATGTGAGATACTTTACTTCTGTATCAACTCAGATATTTGTTTGCTGATGATCTGAATCATCTGATTCAGACTGAAACTGAAATGAATATTCAGCCATATTCATTCAGATTTCAGGTTGAAACTTGTCATAGGGTGGGTGCACTTTTTCTATTACTGTCTCAAGTATTGCGTATAGTTCGTAGAACCACCAGCAGAAAATGACTACTGAACTTGGACTAGGAACCTGCCAAGTTCTCGTTTTAATTTTGACTTGTATAAAACCCAGCGTTTTCTGGTGTGTAGTATGCTTAATGATTCATGGAAAATTAATTTTTGTGCCTCATTGGATGGTTTTGCAGGTTAAATAAGAATTATTTTGAGGGTTAATGGGGTACCAGTTTCAGTGTACATTAGCCCTAAATGCCCCGTCTGCCCCACCACACCAACCCCAAACTTGAAAATAATAGAAATAAGGCTGCCCTTGGAGGTTAAACTAGTCGACTCTATAGGGACTGAATACACGTAACTGTCTCTGGAGTAAATGGCATTATTTCTATAGATGTGTGGTGGAAGAAGTTTTAGAACATGGAAAACTTCAGTCAGCGTGATAGGTGAAGAAATTTGGTGAGGCAAGATGTATGTGTAATTCTCATATAGGAAGGAGAAATTAAATAAGCTGCCTTTTAAAGAAAAGCAGTCAATGGGAGAATGGGCAGGGGTCAGAATAGCTAATTAGCAATCCTAAACAACCCGGTGTTTGTCAAGGTGGTGCCTGGGTACCATCCACACAGTGTCCTCCCCTGCGTGAATTCTGTGTAGTCATCGTTGCATGGTAAGAGATAGATTGGTCTTATAGGAACAAGAGTTCTAGTCTGCTTGAAGCTCTTCTCATTGTGAATTAGTTTATTGGCAATCAGGTTTTTGGAGGTGCATGTTTGGTTTTTAATACCTGTCTTCTCTGCTGGATTGTCAGCTCTGTGACAGCAGGCAGGGGTTGTAATGATGTATTGGCCACTTTCTCTAGATCACCTGTCAGGATCTGGCACAAAGTAGGTGCTCATTAAATAACTGTTGAATAAATGAATGTGGTGACAAAACCAAGTTTTGAGCCCTCAAAACTGAGGCCCAGGGAGAGCCACACTAAGAATTCACTAAGTTAAAGCCACTTTGTTCAGCCGTGGGGCAGAAGCCAAACCCAACTCACTCCTATTCCATTTTGTACCTTCCAGTCAAATACAGCAGCTCGGAAATTGACTGGCCACAATGGCTGTGCAATAAGTAATGTTTATTCATTTATTCTGGGGATGTTTATGACTTGATTACATGTGTCAGATATTGAGTTTTCATTTCACCAAGTCAGAATGACCTCTGGGTTTTAAATCTGTTTAGTCCTCAGGATCACCAAAAGGATTTGTTAATCAACAAGTTGAATTTCTAGGAGTCAACATAGAATAAATAGATCATCCAGGTTTATGATGGTGGTACCAATAGCAGTTTTTAAGCATAAGGTTGTGTATAAGCTGCTTTTGAGTGAATACTGGATCCTGGTACTTTTATTTGTCAAACACATGTAGCATTAATCACGTGCCCAGCACTACTCTACCTTAGAAATTAGGATTTATAAAGACCAACCCTGTGGAGTCTACGTAACGTTATCTATTCGTTAGCTTCATTTCCCAGAGGTGAAAACTGAGGCACAGAGAGGTTAAGTGACTTGTCCAAGGTCACACAGCTAGTTAAGTACCAGAGCTGGAATATGTTTCAGGCACTCTGGTTCCAGAGCCCGTGTGTTTTTCACCTCCCTGCTAGGATACCTCTCCATAATAAAAGCAACTACCAGCACTGCTGTATTTTGTTAGAAAGTTTGAACAGCACTGTGCTATTAAATTGAAACATTGTGATCCCATTTGTTTCTGTTGATATTGCTCTGCTGCCTGTGCTTTATTTCCTGGGTAGAAGAAAGCTTTTAAGGGAGCATTCTTCTCCTCTTTGCTTCTAACGATGTTGCTTCTGACTCTCATCGCATTGGCTCCTTTCCACCGTTTGGTGTCAGAGCACCGGTAACTGACTGCTTCTGACTGAGGGAGTGTTTTGTTCCAGGTGTAGTTAACTTGAAGTTTCATTGTCCCAGCACAAAGTCATGTAATCCCTCCCCAGGCTCGAACTCTCCCCACTTGACATTTTACCAAGAATTCCTTTTGAGTCTGTGCCTCGGCTGAATCAGAGTGGCAGTCAAGTTGTTCTTCCTTATTTGACCACAGTCTGTCTTAGTCCTTGCCTTTCTTGCTCTGTTCCTTGCGATGACACCTTGGTTGGGGATAATTAGAGACGAGGGCAACCAGGATTTGGAAAGAGAGAAGAATGTTTATGGTGTGGAGGTTTTTGCATCTTAATCATGGGAAAGCGTAAGGGACATAAAGCTAAATAAATCTGGGTGGAGCCTGTCTCTTTGGGGAAGAAGAGGGAGACACTTTTTCTAGTTTGATCTGTTCTGGCCGGAAATAATCACCATGGAAGCTAAATTACTGCTTATTACCAGGTCCCCTGTGCCTGGATCAGTACTTGGCACTTGTCTTCATGCTCTGTTTATAACCTTACACCAAGGAAAGTTGTGTTCCCTGCGTTTTATGCTGAGGGACCTGAATTAATATAGGGTAAGTAACTTGCTCAAGAGCATTTATTTTGTAAGTAGCAGACTTGGAATTCAGCTGTAAGAATGTTGTAGACCATGACCCTCTATCATAAGACACTGTTCGGATGCCCTGCGAGAGACTGTCACTGGTATTAATAATAGTAGTGGGGTCAGATGAGTTTAAGCTCATTGTTTTCTTGTTCGCTCTGATGAAAGATTCATCGGCCAATATCCTGTTAGCAAATCTTTATGTACTTCTCTTTTCCATTTAATTCAACAAACATATTATGGAGTGCTAATTATGTGCTAAGGAATTAAAAAGATGAATAAGGGAAACTCCGTTCTTTTCTTAAAAAATTGAGGTAACATTGGTTTATAACAGTGTATCTGTTTCACATGTACAACATTTCATATCTAGGGCGTGCTCACTACCAGAAATTTAGTTCCCACCATCATCACACTGTTGATCTCCTTTATCCATTTCACCCTCCTCCCCACCCCTTCCCCTCTGATGACCATTACTTTGTTCTCTGTATCTACATGTTTGTTTTTGTTGGGTTTACTCATTTTTTTAAATTCCTCAATGAGTGAAATCATGTATTTGTCTTTCTGTGATTTATTTCGCTTAGCATAATGCTCTCAAGGTCCATCTGTGTTGTTGCAGATGACAAGATTTCATCGTTTTTAATGGCTGAGTAGTATTCCTGTGTGTGTGTGTGTGTGTGTGTGTGTGTGTGTGTGTGTGTATGTATGCATTACATCGTCTTTATCCAGTCATCTGTTGATGGACACTTACATTGTTTCCGTATCGTGGCTATTGTAAATAATGCTGTAATGAACATAGGTGTGCATATAACTTTTCAAATTAGTGTTTT